CAGATTCTGATTATCTTTATGCAGAGTACTGCAACGCTTTGTCCTGGGACAACAATCCCACGATAACGCTGTATTAACTGCGCTGACAGTCCGTGCATCTACATTTGCTTTTCCTTTGTGTTTTAACCACTTACCTGTGTAGGCTCTAAATGTCGTTATTCGCATGGAGCCTACCATGAAGTATCCGTTTAACGTGCGTTCCTTTTTCACGGATCGGGAAACGAAAGATATCGGTGGCGGTCTTGTACTGTGGCGAGGATATTTCCAATCAGTCAGGCCGGCGATTGGTCGTATGCTCGTCAACGTCGATATTTCGACAGGGACTATGTACAAGCCAGGTCGGCTGCTCGACCTATGCCTCGATTTCCTAGAAAAACCCGGCCAGTACAACATCATCAGTCCACGGCGCAACATGCCCGATCGAGAAAGATTACGCCTGCAACGGTTCGTCACGGGCATTCGCATACAGACAACCCATGCAGGAAACAATGGTCGAAGGCCACCCCGCGTTATCAAAAAACTCAGTGCTGCAGGCGCTGCAGATCTTACTTTTTCCTTAAGAGATGGAACATCATTGACTGTCGCCCAATATTTCAACCAGCTGCTCAATCGGCCGCTCCAATACCCGGACAACATTTGCGCGGAGGTACGTAAAGTGGTTGTATTTTATCTGGATAAATTAAAACATTTGACAAAGGTTGGTACTGGGGCCCTCATCCCGTTGGAGCTCTGCACCGTTCCGCCTGGGCAGATCATGCGGAAGCAGGTGCCACCTGAAAAGACCAAGGACGTTCTGGACTTTGCCACCAAGAAACCGCATGATCGGCTCGCGAGCATCACCGCTGGGCTGTCGGTACGTATCGCCATTCTTTCTTTCCGCAGTTTCTCTCATATCTTTGTTAGGTGCTTGCGTATGGTCAATCCGAGTATGTTCGCCAGTTCGGTATGACGGTAGAAGACACAAGTGGTCCGCTGAAGATCGGAGCGAGGGTTCTCAAACCCATTAATCTCAAATACGGCGCAAACAGTCGCCAGCCGACTATTGTAAGACAACGTGCAATTGATATCAGCATGCGACTGACCCAATATATTAAAGACGCCAGCGAACGGTGCTTGGAACATGTGCGATCATTCTCTTTCTTTGTCGTTCTTTATTGAATCACTTTCCAGGATTGACAAGCGTTTCTGGCGCCCAGCTACCGTAGAACGATGGGTTGTTGTAGTTTATGAGCGCCAGCAACGATTCAGCCAACAGGCAGCTCAGGAGATGGTTCAAGGCTTGATTGCCAGTTGTCAAGCAGTCGGTAAGTTCATTCAAGTCTATCCTAAATTGTCGGGTATATAAACGTGATTATCTAGGTATGAAAGTAAACGACACCAATCCGATCGTCTCGTGGCAGAACGGCCAAGGACGGATAGCCGATGTGAGTATCGAGTTATCGAATGCCAAACCAGGGGATAACTTACATTCTCTATCGTAGCAACTCCGTGCCGCAGGCAATGACTGCTTCGCGAAGACAAAACAACGCCCAAACCTGATCGTGGTGGTCCTTCCTGACGGTGGTAATGACATTTACACCGCCGTTAAACAGTTCGTCGAACAGTATCCTCTCCAATAAAAATCTAATCTATTGATCGCAGTTTTGGAGATGTTACCGTAAGATATCCATTGCATTGATGTGTTTTCTCGTGAATAAGCTGTTCGCTGATATGTCACTAGGTCGGTGTTGCCACCCAATGCCTGAAAAGTTCCAAGTGTTTCCGGGCGAAACCGCAATACTACGCCAACGTTTGCCTGAAGTATGCGTTGCTGATCTGGTATCTTGCCTGCGCTCACGCTTCATACCAGACTGAACGTCAAGCTCGGCGGTATCAATACCATTCCCGATCCTTCGTCGGTTTCCGCTCTAACTGATCCAAGAAACCCAACGATCGTCATGGGTATAAATTTTTCGTGTTTTTTTCTCCCTATGCGGCTAATTCACCTCTCAGGCGCCGACGTCATTCACCCAGCGCCTGGATCTGATGGTAGGCCGTCGTTCACAGCCCTCGTGGGCAACGTTGATTCGGATACTGCGAAATATGTTGCGACGAGCCGCGTGCAAGCCTCTCGAGTTGAAATCATTGAAGACCTCAAGGAAATGGCGAAAGTGGGTGCACTAAGGCCAGTTGAAATACTGATACTCATTGGTCCTCAGCATATCCTCACCTTGTACATGCGCTTCCGCCAAAACGTGGAGAAAAAGGCTGGGAATGTTGCGCCTACGCGCCTCCTGTTCTTCCGAGGTTCGTGAGCATATATATATATATATAAGAGTGTTCCGATTGTTGATGTCATAAATAGATGGTGTTTCCGAAGGACAATTCAGGCAGGTGCTCGACCAAGGTATCATCCTTCTAATTTATGAATTAGACGGCCAACTGACTAATGATCTCAGAACTGATCGCTTTGAAGGGTTGGCGCCGTTCGTTTCATCACGACTTTGTCTGAACAATCTATAGATGCCTGCAAGGAATTGAAGATCAATCCTTCCATTACCATCGTTGTTGTTGCTAAGCGTCACCATGTTCGATTCTTCCCAACAAATCCAAGCGATGCCGATCGCAGTGATAACTGCCCTGCTGGGACGGTAGTGGATCAGGTAGTGGCCCATCCTACTGAGTTCGACTTTTATCTCCAGAGCCACGGAGGTTTACTTGGCACCAGTCGCCCAGCACATTACAACGTCCTCTACGACGAAAACAAATTTAAGTGAGTGGTTCGACCCGAAGATTGTGACAGGCTAACTGGTAATTCGCTCCTGTAGTGCCGACGGTTTACAGTCGTTGTCTTTTGCACTTTGCCACGTCTACGCACGTTCCACGCGATCGGTATCGATTCCGGCTCCCGTATATTGTAAGTTGACCTGTTGTCCCGCGTCCCTACATAATTTGAACACTTTACAAGATGCCGATATCGTCTGTTCCCGCGCGAAAAACCACTATGATCCTCAAGGTGCCCTCGACTTCTCGGACTCGGCCACTCAGGTTGACTCTGCCACCGCGGAGGGTGTGTTGGAGGCGTACAAACGCGGGTTCAAACCGTTACATGCAAACATGTCCACTTTGATGTACTTTTCCTAAATGTTTTGACAATATCCGAATTCGCCAATTTGTCTATACAACTTTCCACTTGTAACACGTCAATTGCTTTCGCTGTCTTTTGCTCGCGTCTTTTTGTCCGTAATGCACTTTGTTGTTTAGTTGTCGCAAAATGTTATGATTTCAAATGATTGTCTGATTTGCATTCCAATGATCACGGGATAACGTTGACAAACAAAAAAGTGTTCAATCTACTCGCGCACGGTTCATGAACCATATTCCTCCGTTGAGATATGTGGCATATGATAGCCACGCGCAATACGGAAGAAGGAGGTATGTTGTGTCCCCGCCAGTACATTTGTGCATAAGACTCTGCGCGGATGTGAGAAGGTGGGTAAAGCGTGGCATAAATGGTGTGTACCGTCATGTAGAATGTTGTCACAAGAAGAGCAGTGCTATCCACGAGTGCCCATCCGATCTACAACTTAGTGAGTTTGAAGGCGCCACTGATGCGCGATTCTAGCTTACTTTCTTAGAGCCAAAGAACAGGGGACTCCAGAGGCAGTTTAAGGCAAGCTGAGAATAATATAGCGTTAACGCGAGGCTCAGACCAGATCTGCAGAAAAACTGAGCAGAGAAACGGGCCTGAAGAAAATATAGTGTACCTTGTGGACTCCGTTTCAGCTCCATCAAGGGCTTTAACGGCAATGTGGGAAGCACAACCCATGCCTTTAGGAGACCGCGCATCAGGACGACAGCATCCGCACAACAGGAACTTGACACACCAGCGTACAAAACAGGCCACACAATGGGGAAGACCCAGCCAGGGGGACGCGCCGGGGGAAAGCGCAGGCTCTATTCATATGCATGTTAGTTCATCTAATAGCTAAAAAATCCGGAAAAGTTATACTTTGTACCAGTGGTTGCGCACTACATTTTTAGTATTATGACCACTGAACAAACCTAGAGCAATCGGCAGCCCCACAGCGGTGATTGAGTTGCGGGGGATGGCGAGTAAAAGGGGAGGCAGCATTTCTGTGGACTTGTTGCAATAAGTCGGAAAGATACGCCATATCTGCGAATTAAATTATGAACAACTGAGTGACGATCGAAAGAATTAAGGGGGAAGCGATCGGTGATGTTTGCGTCAGAAGCTGTTGCCAAACAACGTCCAGTTTCACGTGATGCAATGATAGAAGACCAAGGGATTGCGTAAGTGGATGCGATAATTATGCTAAGCTACGAATTGGCTACGAAGGGAATCTACAAATACAGTCCGTCACGATCCTCTGAAGGATCGGATACAACGGTGTTGTCCAGCGGAGGATCAGGGTCAAGTCCATTGGAGCTCGATCCAAACTGAGCCCCACGCTGATCAATATCGCTAGGAGCAGCGGCACGGGGAATGCCAGAAGTGGGCTCATAATGATCGCTATTGCTGCTTCCACCATTGTGTGCTAGTGCAAGCTTGAGAATGAATATTCTCTCGTCTTGTGAAGCACTGATCCAGAAATATGAGCAATGAAGAAAATCGCACTGATTAAAGATACTTCACATGGTGGTCTCGTTCTCTTTTAAAGCCTGAACAACTTCGGGTTCCTCAGAAGGGGAAGCGAGGCTGTCAATGTAATCCTTGAGCTCTTGCTGCGTACGTTTGAGGTGGATCATAGAATTCTGTAATCTTCCAATTTCTTGTAGTCCCAAAATGCTTGAGTAAATAAATTCTCCCCAGGGGAAAGGACAAATACCATCTGCAGTCACAGCCGGATCAAAAAGGATGGCCTCTTCCAAAGAGAAGGGCTGTGGGTAACGTGGAATGAATTCCATTATGACCGCCAGTGGAGAGATACCAGTAATACGTATGGTGTCTTCCTGGAAAGATAAAACGTTTATTCGACGCAAATGAAGTTAAAAAATATAGGCGTTACCAGGGATCGAACCTGGGTTTCGAGAAGATCACGTGATGATTCAGAATCTCGAGTGATGACCGCTACACTATAACGCCTGTGATCACCAATGTTTCTTTGTGCGCTATCACTGGTGGATGTTATGTTACTCGTTATAGATCAAAACTGACCAGTGACTTGATCGGCTGAACTGAGTCACTTTAGAAAAGTTCAAGTGTAAGCTGACTTGAGTTTTCTTTGACATGTCTTCATTTCTCGTCTTGTTGGATAGTGAATCCGTTGAAGAGGGTGTTATCGCTGCTGCCTCTCGCGTTGCATCTTTGATCGGTTCTCCTGATCAAGGTGCACACATCGTATTCGTAGAGGATCCTTCAACAGATCCATCCCAAGTCATTACCCATCTCGATAACGGCGCAGAGAAAGCCATAGTCCCGCTATCTCTCGCAAAAAATCTAATCGGTACAGTCCCTCCCAACCGCCTGTTACTACTGCTCGATCTTGCCAATGTGAGCGCCGTCTCGGATTCTCTCCGGAATGCCATCTCTGGTGTCCTCCTCAAGACTCCATCATCAGACCCCGGCCTCGTTCAATCCGTCGCACGCTTTTTCTCAGGGTTGGCAGTCCATGTGCTCTCCGCCGACGGGCCTTCCCTTGCTTCCATCCGAAAATTGGCGGCCATTGGTGCATCCCTCATCCTCCCCATTTCTCATCTCTCCTTGGGTCTTACATCGGAAAGCAAACTAAACATAGCCGATGTATTTATTGCGCCCCTTTCGTCAGATCGTCAGGATGGTTTATTCCCCACTGTAGTCTCGTCCGAACCCCATGGCGGACGCAGTCTTGGTCTCGTGTACTCCTCCCGTGAGTCGATCGCAGAGTCGATCGCTACCGGAAAGGGCGTATACCAGTCACGCAAACACGGACTATGGCGTAAAGGCGAGACTTCCGGGGCAACGCAGGATGTCGTACGCATCTTGGCCGATTGTGATAATGATGCACTCGAGTTTAGAGTCGTGCAGAACGGTGTCGGGTTTTGCCATCTAAATCAAGCATCGTGTTTTGGTGATCTAGATGGGTTGGCCGCGCTTGAGCGCACCCTAACAGCTCGCCTTGTCGATGCTCCAGATGGTTCCTATACGCGTCGATTATTCGATGATCAGCAGTTACTCACGGCAAAAATAATGGAAGAGGCGGATGAGCTATGTCGTGCAGAAACCAAGGAAGACGTAGCGTTTGAAGCCGCAGACCTACTGTACTTTGCCTTGACAAAATGTGCGGCAGCCGGTGTTAGCATTAAAGACATCGAGCGGTCTTTGGATAACAAGGCGAAGAAGATTACGCGTAGACCGGGAAATGCAAAACCTCAATGGTCTTCCAAGTCAGAAGCCACGAAGCCCCAAGTTCCTGCGACCAAATCAGCCAATGCCCCTGCTCAAGATCCCGACGCTTCCATTCGCATGCGCACTGTTGACCTTTCCACCACCACATCAGAAGAGCGTCTTAAACTGCTCAAACGTCCTGTCCTCAAATCTGACGAGATGATTGCAAAGGTCAAACCCATCGTAGACAGTGTCCGGATACGAGGGGATGCCGCCTTGCTCGAACTTACAGCGAAATTTGACAAAGCGCAGCTCGACACGCCTCTTCTCCTTCCTCCCTTCTACCCTCTATCCGATTCGCAGCAGTTAGATCCAGATGTAAAGGAGGCCCTCGATGTTGCATACGCAAACATCTACAAATTCCATGCCGCTCAAACTGACACCAAACCGCTGGTAGTCGAGACGATGCCAGGTGTAACATGCACACGTTTTGCCCGCCCAATTGCTCGCGTAGGCCTGTATGTTCCTGGCGGTACCGCCATCCTGCCTTCTACGGCACTTATGCTTGGCGTGCCTGCTCAGGTTGCCGGGTGTGAGCAGGTCGTCGTTGCCACCCCGCCGAGGGCGGATGGCAGTATCTCCCCTGAGGTACTCTATGTTGCGCATCTTGTTGGTGCGCATGCTGTTCTCCGTGCTGGCGGAGCTCAGGCTGTTGCTGCGCTTGCCTATGGGACGGAAACTGTCCCCAAGGTCGATAAAATATTTGGACCAGGCAATCAGTGGGTGACTGCCGCGAAAATGCTCGTGCAAAACGACACAGACGCACTCGTGTCGATCGATATGCCTGCGGGACCATCTGAAGTCTTGGCAAGTATCTTATGTGTGATTGGATTCTGTATTCAATTCTGATGTAATGTTGTTGACAGGTAATAGCAGATGAACTTTGCAACCCTGCATTTGTCGCTGCCGATTTGTTATCACAGGCTGAACATGGTATAGACTCACAAGTAGTCCTCGTTGGAGCTTCTCTTCCAGATTCCATCCTAGCCAAAGTAGAAGAGGAAGTGGATAAACAGGCACGGGCGCTGTCGCGTGTTGACATTGTGCGGGAGAGCGTTTCTCGAAGTCTTATCGTCAAAGCTGGGAGTGCAGATGCTGCTGTGGAGTTCTCGAACGAATATGCACCTGAGCATCTAATCTTACATCTTCGAGGCGCATCAGGGTGGGTGAGCCACGTCAAGAACGCTGGAAGTGTATTCGTGGGTCCATATACACCAGAAAGGTAGGTTTGATGCATATTTCTGCGACAACAGTGCTGATTTGTTGGGTGTAGCTGTGGAGATTATGCATCCGGGACCAACCACACACTCCCCACGAACGGATATGCACGTCAATTCAGTGGCGTCAATACTCAATCGTTCCAGAAGCACATCACTTCCCAAGAGATCACCATAGACGGGCTGGAGAAACTCGGCCCTATCGTCGCGACGTTAGCGGATTGTGAAGGACTCCAAGCGCATGCAAACGCGGTGCGTGTACGTCTAGGAATATAAAGATTAATATGCGTGATCGCATGATATACACCAAAAAAGAGTGCAAATGCCGTAGAAAAGGCACCCTCGTAGTCTAAGATTAGAAGTAGTATGTACCCTCGGGGGAATGTATACGTAGAATGAGTGTGGTCCCTGTTGAGGCTCGAAAAATATTTAAGAACCCAATACGCACGCTTGTAAGTTTAACATTTCGGGCATATGATAGCATTAACTGTGTTGACGTGATGAAAAGGCACTACTTCTCGATAATCCGTGGTATCTGGAGCTTGCCGACCAATAACAATGGTTCTGAGCTTCACGCATCACATAAAATGTTAATCTACGTCTATGCAAAGCGCACGAGGTGAAAAACTTGCCTCTGTGGACTCTTGGTTATTCCCCGTAATTGTTGAGATTAGGACCAGTTCGCCCTTGTCTGCTGGCGCAAGTCTGCGCACATGATCACGTACGTTCAAGTTCGCCAACAGAGTATTGCAATACACTGAGCAAAGAGGAAAGTCGAACACGACGTAGATCACGTTCGACGGGAAGGTGGCGAACTGTGATTTTTTGATTGTCAGCGTATATGTATGATATTTATAAGGATAAGACCACACCAAACCCAATGCGAGCAATGAAAATATCGCGGTCCATGCTCCACTATTGATTGAAAAGAGAGCGAGACGTTGTAACATTTTCTCGTACCTTTCATTGATGCTTCAATAAAGAAAAATCAATCGGGTTCAAACGAAGCACGCACCGTTTGGTCCCAAGGGAGCGATCTTTGAGGAGCTTGTATGACAAACTGACAGCGATGATGATGTCAACGACAGCAGCCACGGCAAAGTACGAAATGGTAAGTGGCTTAATGAACATAAAAATATGGTCAACAGCATTCACGTTGTGACGCATGATTGAGAAATACCGTGAAGAGACTATCTGTCAGGACTAGTGCTGATGGTGCGCGCGTCCTTGAGGATAGTCAGATGATGGTTGTGCCCATTGAACAGACGGACATACGCTTTGATGCTGTATACTGTATACTACAGTCAAAATGATATTGAATGAAACAGGACATTAGAAACAGTACCGAGGCAGGAGCCTAACAGCAAGGAATGAGCAACGTGATGGATAAGCTAAAATTGCAGCAGTGCTTTACTCGCCTAGTTGATAAAGTGCAGCCAATGACTGTCGTTCGAGTGAGCATCAACGAGGTTGGTAAAACTCTGAGTAGCAACTTTACCCAGAAAGCGAGAAGAGCCACCATCTTTTTGCAAACTGAAAAGAATCAAGAGATGCCAGAATGAGCGGTATCAAGTACTTACATTTCCGGATCCTATAGACAAAGAAGCCTTGAGTGAGGAGAGCGACGACAGTCTGGAATAAACAAGCTTTAACCAAGCGGTACGATATAACACAAAAAAACTGACAGTTAACAACGGCGCCCACTGTGTGATTGATGCGTGTCAACCTCAGCGCAAGATTGTGATTGTTTATGAGACAGATAAACATACAATAATCTCTCTGAGGAGAATCATTAGTCTTTATTATAATAGTCATGCTAGGCACGATCGATATGATGGCACTCACGGCACGATATCAGCGAGTCCTTGATAGTTTCCAAATTTTTGGACGAGGTATATGTACACTTTGTTTCACAGATGAGTGGATAGCGGGGAAACGGATTTCTGAGCTGACCTACCTCCTTTGACCACTAGCACTTGGTGTGCCGTGTCTAAGCTCCTACGTCACGACGGTGATCGTGATGAGCTGATTGCCATCTACCTTTACTCGTTTGTATTCCTCACCAAACAGATAAAACCTGTGTGTTATTCAGCTAGTTTCGACAGCAATATGTTATAAATGATACCAACGAGAAATTTGAGCGCTTTCGAATCGTTTTGGTAGCTATAGATTGTTGGTGGACTAACATGAGCATCTTGTATTATCGACTTACCGCATAAAATACAAGAACCTGGACAATCATATAAGTCAGGATGACAACGAGTACTAGTGATGCTCACGTTTGCATGCATGAAACTCCCCACAATCCAACACACAACAGTGACGCCATATACATTGAACCATAGTTGGGTCCAGTAGTAAATGGAGGAGGATTTGTTGTTGACATTGAAAGGAGAGTGAGTGCAAAGGTGGATAATTAGCGGCAATCGCTTCTTATGAACCGGTGAATGTCATCGCCGTGCCCATCGTTCTAAGTACATAAACTTGTGTGAAATCGGCAGG